TCTATTCTCTTTCTCCCTTCCTCCCCTTCTCTTCTCTCTCCCGCCCGCACCGCCCGCCGCGCCCCGCTCACGCCCCCCCTCCCCCCTCCCCCCCCACCCGCACAGGCGCGAGGAAGCTCTGGAAGGGCTTCCTCGTCGGCACGGTCCACGGCGCACAGCAGGGCTGTACGCTGCAGTAGCCCGCACCAGCAGCGCACACCTAATGGAGGATGGCAGCCGCTCTTCGACAGCCCTGTGCGGCGGCGGCCGGCGCGCAGCGCATGTGGAGGAGGGCCATCCGCCCCGTGCCGCCCGATGAGGCGGCGCGTGGGCCATGGCGAGCGGACAGAGAAAGGGGAGGGGGAGAGGGGTGTCAGATCACCGCACCGAGCGGGGGCACCAAAGGAAAAGCGTTTGCCGAGTATAAGCGATGCGACCTCTGAGACACAATACGCGAGTCTGATAGAATGTGGAGGCGTCTCGGGAAGAAGATTGTTTGTTTTTGGACGTCCGCGCGAATAGTGCCGAGACACGCAGCGTAACGCGCCGCCCGCTCAGGTCGCTAAGCAGTAAAGTGCACCACAGGTACGACAGCAGAGAGCAGTTCCAGTTGCCAGTTTTGAATCAGCTTCTCAGCAGAGGCCTGTGGGGCGACTCCGACTGGCCAAGCCTAGCCGAAGGGAGAGGCAAGAGCTGAGGGCTGCACGGCGTGGACGATGCGTGTCCTCCCGCGGAGTCAGTCGTGCGTAGGGCCGATGATGCGGTCGATGAGGCCGTACTCGAGCGCCTGCTCCGCCGACATGTAATTGTCTCCGCCCTCGAAGTCGGCCACGATTTGCTCGCGCGTGCGCCCCGTCATGTGCGAGTACATGGTGACCAGCGTGCCTGACCACGGCACCGCCGCGGCGTGAGCAGCCTCGCCGGGCCTCCCGTCCCTCCGGCAGAAGGGCTCGGGCGAAGACCAACCGGGAGGGGCCCGCTGGTGCTTGGCTCCCACGTCACTCGGGCATCTAGACTCGATGCGCCTTTGATCTTGATGATCTGCTCCGCCTCCACACGGACGTCCTCCGCCTGCCCCTCGGACCCCCCCATCGGCTGGTGCACCATCACGCGCGAGCTCGGAAGCGCCTACAAAGAGAGAGGCGCCCCTGCGTAGAAAAGACATCGGAGCAGGTCACGCGCGAGAGAGTTGGAAACGCCGTCCGCTTGCCCCGCTCGCCCGCGCCCAGGATGAAGGACGCCTGTCGCGGGAGGGGAGGGGGCGTGTGGAGAAGTCCCGGACACGAGAGAGCAAGGCGACGTGCGCCATCGGACACGTCCCGGACATGTCCCGGACATGTCCCGGACAAGTCCTTCTCGTGGGCAGGAGTGCGCGGAGGCGGGGCGAGGCGTGCCATCGATGCGGCCATCCCGATATTGCAGGTGAGCACGTCCGAGTCGATGTGCTGCATCGTGTCGTACAGCGCGAGCCCCGCGATCACCGACCCTCCGGGCGAGTTGATGTAGAGGAAGAGTGGCTCGCTGCTGTCCTCGGCATCGGCAAACAGCAGCGACGAGATGCACTGGTTGCACACGTAGTCGTCGATCTCCTGCCCCAGGAAGACGAGCCGCTCGCGGTAGAGCGGCTCGTTGGCCTGCGGCGGTGGGCCGGCGGGCGGACTCTGAAGGAAGGCGAGCAGAGCAGCGGAGGCGGCATGAGGCGGAGGAGGAGACGACGGTGGTGGGGCCGAGCTCCAACCTGCACCCAGTCGTCGCTCGTCGTCTCGGGCACCTTGTACGCCACCTTTGGCGCGCCGAACGGCATCCGCGCGCCGCCTCCCCTCCGCGGCGCCCAGCCTGTGGGCGCGCGCAGCAGCTGCCCGCCGCCGCCCTCGACTGCGGCGCACCTCGCCCGCTGCGCCCGTCTGGCGGCGGCGGCGCCGATCGGGGCGTGCGTGAGCGCTATCGCTCCCCTAGCGAGCCAGAGGAAGGCACCGAAGAGCAGCCCGGCGCTGTGGAGGCGCTGCGCCCCCCGGGCGTGCATGGGAGCTACAGGGGGGGCCGCAAAGAAAATGCGGATGGCCTCGTGCTGCACATACAAAAGGGCCAGTTATGCCACAATGCGGATGCGCTACACAAAACCGTGCAGAAGGCCGCTATGCTGGCAAGGGCTCCATGGCTAGGCCATTTATGGTCCGTTTTCTGACGCAAACTTCCGACTCTCAGGGGCGTTTTGTTTTCAACCCCTGCCTAGACGAGTACAGCTAAAGAGTACCCGGGGCTCCCCATACGGGAGAGCCCCAGCAGAAACCCGGGCAAAGCACCGGCATTCCTTTCGTAACGCGTTCGGCCCGCAGTCTCGCCCGGCGCGCGCTCCTCTGCGCCCACCTAAATTCCTGAGTCGCTGCACCCCGCCAGTGCACCCACCCACCTGGCCGCCACGCGCAGGAGCGGCTACACAAGTCCACAATCGAGTCGCACGGTCCGCCTCGCTTGAACGGCTGCTTCCACAGGAGGTGCAAAAGCCGCCGCGCTCCACTCCCAGCCACAGCCTGGCCACCCCGCGCGGACACGGGGCGCCCCATAGCCCCACTCGACTGCCCGGCCGCTCACACACCGCCTCGGCCGCCCACGCCGACGCACAGACCCACCTGCGCCCGGCTATGACGCGTGCGACCAATGCGAATGCAGGACCATGGGCGACGCCGGCGAAGGCGGCGCGGACGCCGACGTGGAGATGGAGACGGACGAAGCTCCCTGTGGGGGCCCGTGAACATCTTTAGCTTGTGAGCCAGGAAAAGGGTTGTTTTGTTTTTGCGTTTTAACGGGTGGCGTCCTGTCACCGTGCTGGGCGTGCTGGTGCAGGCCCTCTTTTCACGCCGGCTCAAACACCCGGCTTCGTGAGCTACCGTAGGGGGTAGGGTCGCGGGCGCAATCAATATGCTTTCTATCCTCTTTCCCGTTTTCTTCAGTTTTACGCTCCACCGCCCGTGCCTCACCACAAGACGATCCGGGGGGCCGAGCCGTTCGTCAGGCAAAACAGCTCCTTTGCAACGCTACTCCCCAGCCCATCGTTGACGACGTCGTCCATCAGTGCGCCCCACCAGAAGCCAGCCTGAGACGCCGTCAGCACGGCCGCAGACCTCCTCTCTGCGTGACCGGCTGTGGCCTCCGCCACCGCCTGCATCGCGCGTTTCCGAAGGTGAGGCATCGTCTTCCACAGTATCGCCTCGCTGTACCGGAACCCCACCACGGGGAACTTCAGCTCCAGGAGCGGGTGCACCCACCTCTGCGAGCAGTCTCCCGCGACCTCGCGCGGCGCGCACCACGAACCAAGTCTACTCAGATGCGATCTTGCACTCAGTTGCCTTGCACTTAGTTTGCTGCCGGAGGACTTGACCAGCGCGGCTCGCCACGCGTTGTAGTAGCTAGCATTCGGCTCGCCGGGCCCGCGTATTGCAATCTTCGCCTTGATCAGGTAGCGATAGCAGTGCGCGTCGGGTAGGCTGGCGTTCGAGGCCCATGAGCCGAGGGTGCAGCCGCTCGATCGAGCGCATAGCGTCGACGCAAGGACTTCGCTGTACGCAAAGTGCCCCGCACGGAGCACGTCGAGAGCGTGGCGCAGGAGCGCGGTCGAAAGCCGCCGAACCTGTGGCTCGTAGAAGACGATCCCGGTCGGCTGCCCCGACTGCATGCGCGTGGGCTCGCGCCTCCTCCTTGACCGACGCATCACACCGGTTCGGGTGAGATCGCGTACAGGGCTGCTGCTATTGGTCAGGAGGGAGGCATTGTCCCGCTCGTAGTACGCCCACCATTCCGCACCCACGTACCGCACATCGTGGCTCAGCAGATCGTTAGTGTTGTTGGCATGCTGCGCGAAGAAGGCGCCAGTGTCGCCCATGAAGGCGGTGTCCTTCTCAAGGACCCAGACGTGCCTAAATCTGCTGCAAAAGGTGGCGCACCAACAGGCGAGCATAGGCTCAGTCAGTTTGTGCCCACTCAGTCTGGGATACCCTCGCAGCGTCGTTGGACTAAGAGCCTCCATGGACGCGTTCCAGCCGCACAGCACGACGTGAGAGGCGTCGAGGCCGGTCGCCTCTGAGAGCAGGCGGACCGATGTGGCATTGTCCGGGTAGAAGAATTTCCATGCGGTGCGGATGTCGGCACGCGCCACCTCACCTGGGCCGACGTCGACATTTAGGAATAGGCGCGCTGGGCCCACGCCGGTGCGCAACCGCGCGATGGCCCAGAGGTGAGCTTGGGTGACGGGCCGGTGCAGCAGGTAGATGAGGGCCCAGTCGTTGGGTGTGGGCATGAGACGCCCGGAGAGAAGGACTCACCAGCTACAACGCAAATGGCTGTGTGTATGAGCGGCTGCGCTCAAAGTCGCGCTCCGCTTTTCATGTACTTTTAGCCAGTCTCTCTCTCTTCATGTAGAGTTTGTTGTAGAGATTTCACGTTGTAGAGCGCCTCTACATCGCTCTACAACGCACGCAATTCGTCCCGCGGCGGATGTAGAGCTCTACAGCTCTACACAGCGCTCTCCAGCGCTCTACAGCTCTACAGCTCTACAGCGCTCTACACTCTACATCCTCTACACCCTCCCTCAGTGCACGGCGCCTTCACAGCTCGTTTGGATTCGAAGGTGAGAGCTCAGGATTCGGGTAAAATTTTAGGTTCGGGTATTTCTCCTGAGGCGAGGCCTCTGGCGCCGCCAACAGCGCGGCCTTACCTCAATCAATGTCAACATACATTGATGGGAAGTCCGACCAACGAGCCTCGAGCGCGGCGGCCGGCCCAAGAGATTTGTTTTTTGTTTGTCCGGCCCAAAGAGCAGGAGCAAAAACAAGAAGGACTGAATTCCTCTGGGGGGGCCGCGGGGGCCCTAGAGGGTGTCCATGCGGGGGGGGGGGGGGTCCCATGGCCCGCCGCAGACGCCGATTTTTCGGTTAATTTTTTTGTCCATTGTTTACTTGTTTTCATGGGAATTCGGCGTACTTGCGGCCAGCTATCACGCCTTGCGACAGCCTGTCGGCGCTGCTGACCGTGCCATGCTGCACAATTGATCATCCGCATAGCTCGCGGCCTTAGTATCCAGCATTCAGTGACGACCTGATCGTACGGCCAGTAGGAAGGTGTCCTTCCAGCTGCGTGCACGCTTCTGGCGCAATGCCCGTCACATACTGCCTCGGATTGGCTGCTGGCACTCTCGAGGCTATGCCTACACAGCCTCGCGCGCATGGGCAGTCAAGAGGGACCACGCACCTTCTCACGACAGCGCCGGTGCCTCTCTCTTGGACCGGCAAACGTGGTGGTCTCGTGTCACCAATGTGGGACCAGTGCGGCATCGCGCCATCGACAGCTCTGAACTGCGCCTCACCACTGACCGGGAAGGCCGCCAAGTGGGCCAGCACAGGTCGCACATTGTGGCAGCAGTCAGCAGCGCATGTCTGATAGCTAGAGCAGCAGCGTCACGGTCGCAGGGTCGGATCGTGTCAAGCCTCTCGCCCGGCCGGCCGCGTGCAGACGTCGGCCTGTCTGCTGTCTGGAGTGATCTGTCGGCGGTCAGTACGACCGATCAGGTTGGAGTTTTCTCATGATTGGAGGGTCTATCTGTATGTACTCCTCGAGATCTCTCCAAATCTCATACATCGAGATCTCTGCGGGACACCAGTAGATTTGTTGAGTGGAGATCGTAGATGCCGATCAGAGATCTTCCACACACAGCATCTCTCGCAAAACTCAGAGATCTTTAACTGAAGATAGAGATCTTGAGCTGCCGCCATCGGCACCTCGAGATCTCAGGCCGGAGACGGGGATGTTGACTTCGCGCCAAAGGCGCCTCGAGAATCGTGTGGCCGACTGGAGATTGCAAAATGGCGCGAAAAGAGGGTGGAGATCCGCTTGAAGGTGTGAAAGGAAAAGAGCATCCCTTGGAAGGACGTCGATCCCCCCCCTGACCTGCCCCTGACACGCCTCCCCGCGCCCCCCCAGAGCTGCATTCGTGGAGCTGGCCTGGCGCCCCCCCTCCGGTCCGTTGCGCTCTGCCCCCCCCCCGCCCGTCCGGGATGCCACACAGGCCGACTCGACGCAACCCTTCTCAACCGACCTCGTTGCACCCTTCCGTAGTAAAAGCAAATAACGGGCGCAAGCGGCCCCTTTCACCTGCACAAAGATCGCACATGGGCGGGGACCTGCTCGTTTTACCCATCACCCGCCCTTTCTCAGAGCTGTGTTTGCGCTCGCTGTGCGCTCGCCCGTTGCTTGGTGTTGCTGGCTACTCTGGAGTCCTCCTGGCTGCTCTCCGCCCACCAGCCGGCCACAGGCCGCCACCCTCGCCGGCCGGCGTCGCGAGAACGGCCAGACTCGACCGACCGGGTGTCGCGCCGCTGCCTGCTTCTCGCGCCGCTGTAGCAGCGCCAGCGGCTTGGCCGCGCATCCTTCACACACGCTGCCACAACCAAGCTGAGCGAGCCCAGTGTCGAGGTCTGGTGCGAGCTGCATGCGAGGGGCGGCTGTGGCCACAGCAGGTCCACCAGACGGACCTCAAAGCTTGCCGTCGGCGTGCTGTCGTGGCGAGAGCGCGAGACCGCTGCAGAGGAGCCGAGTGCAGTGGCGAGCCAGAGGCTACCAGGGCTACCAGGTGGTAGCCCTTGCCCATTCTGATCAGGGCTGTGCTTTGGTGGGGTTGTGCTTGAGCATGTGTGAAGTGGGAGTGCGTGCCGGCGGTGTCTGTGGGTAAAACGGGCGTGTGTGAGGCCGTAAGAGCCGTGGTATGAGCCAGAGTGGGCTTCATCACCCAAAATAAGGACGGTTTGGGACAGCTCAGACTTGATACTGATGGGCCTGGGCCAGGAGAGCGACAGAGATGGCGAGGTGGTGAGCTGGGAAGCCGCTTTGTCGGCACCTGGATGTGTCGCGATGAAGTGCCAAGAAGCGCCGTTTGCGGCTAGTGCTCAAAACCTCGGGAGAGAAGGCCTACATATTATGAGTGAATCCATGCACCTGGTGCATGGGAACTGTGGAACAGGACATTTCACAGTCGGTGGC